CAAAAAAGGGTATAAAATTAATTTCAGTACAGCGCTGCATGACGGAATAAATGTCAGTCAAAGTACCGCAGCGCTGAATACTGAAAAATGGCCTGGATGGGAAGGGGGTTTAACACCCCGGATGTCAACTGGTTAACAGAATTAAATTATAATTTGTTAGACACTAAATATGATATGGATATTATGAATGTCTCTCTTAGGAGTTTGAATGTGTCCCATCCACTTTCTGGACCTTGTAATATATGTGTGTTTGGTGTCTAACTGATTGGCATCTTCTGATACATGTGTAACCTCTTTTTAGGAGGGTAGCTCCATTACATCAGGAGTTATGGTAAAAGCATAAATGGAGTTTGACTTCAGTGGTTCAAAAAAGCCAGACTCATACATGTAAATTCCTCAAACTATTTTGCAGACTGTTTTAGGACCTGGCCTTTTATGACTGGACTTATCGGACGTCTTTTAAAGGCCCTGGCTAATAAATGTATACAACATCTCTGCTTTGCTTCTAGCTTGGACTGTTTCTATCAAAGTTGCTTCCATCTGGTCTGTAGGTTAACAAATGTGTAACTTTCCCTGGATGTTCACAACAGACATGAGATTTAAATATGACCGTTTCTGTTACTGACTTGCACATTTTGGGGAATATTGGGGTGGCACAACATTCAGTAGGACTTCTACATTCTCCCCATACAGTTTGTGGGCTCATTATCATCACACCTGTATTAAATGTTTATCTGTAAAACAAAGATTCTATGTACATTAACATAATATAAAACATCAGTTTATAAATGTATAATCTTCAAAGCCTGATTAATTTGTTATTGTAATACAGGCAGGCTGCATATACAGTAATAAATATCTTTGTCGTTTTTTTTATACATACTATGTGCAGCAGCACATTGGAGGGTTCAGACCACAGTTTTCACACCCAACACAGCGGCCCAGGTCTCCCGGCCCAGGGAGAGAAAATGCTGTTGATTGGAGCAGTGTGCGGGGGGCATCATGGGGGGGGGGGGGGC